CAAAGGCCAGAGGCGCCTGACTTGGGACAGGCGCAAAAATGCGGCGGGGTTAAACATGTTTTTTGAGATCTCAACCCCCCCCCCCCCCCGCTATACCTCTAGCCAATGTAGAAAAAACAAACGCACAACAGTACGTACAGCAAAACTCAGTATAAGAGAAGTCCGAGTCCGATGTCAGAATAGGAAACAAAAGAAAATAAACAAAATGACAATAATACACAAATAACAACAGACTACTAGCAGTTACTGACATGCCAGCTCCAGACCTCAATTAAACTGATTAAAAGATTATGTCTTCATCATATGAATATCAGGCACAATCCCTCCTGTTAGGGGTTTAGTATTATACCGTCATAAAATATATGAAAAGAACATAACCCGTGTCATGCCAACAACTGGTTTTAGAATAAATGTGTTTAATTCCGATGCAAAGACCCTATAAGTGAATTAATATTAAAGCCAAAATATGCAATCTTTAATGACCTGACAACAGCATCGTAACTATATCCCTTCTTAATAAGTCTGTTTAAAGGTTTTGTTAGCTTTTGAGGTGAATACTGACATTTTTGTGCTTTGTAAAGAATACTACCATAAAAGATTAGATGTGAAATACCCAAACGTACAAGATATAGAATGGAAACGGGGAGTGTGTCAAAGAGACAACAACCCGACAAAAGAGAAGAAAACCGCCCAAAGCCACCAATAGGTCTTCAATACAGCGATAAAATCCCGCACCCGGAGGCGGGCTTTAATATGTCGCGTCTTAACATTTGTCAACACAGTAACTATAATTAGAAACAAAGCGTGACAAACGTACAAAAGTAATAATAAAAAAAAAAGATTTTTATAATACACTAATAAATAAGTCACTCTATGTAAAGTAAAATTAAAAGTATTAATCCAATACCATCACCTGATTGATAATAGAGTGAAAAATAAAAAGGCTGGACAGAGATTACAACTACAAAAAAAATGCAGGACAACATTTTCATCCTAGCCACCCCCTCTCCCCATAAAAGTCAAATGGTAGCTCCCTTATTGTATATGTGACCCGGAGAGGAAGGAGAAGGATACCCATCTAAACTTTCTGATCCTAAATTCGATAGGGAACAAAAACTGGGAATGTGAACATGGCGAACACCGGCTCCAAAATATCAGAAATAAAATCAAGGAGTTGGGTAGCTCTAGAGAAATAGATTGACAGTGTTTCCCTTGCATGATATCAGTATATGTGTCCCTAAACTCAGAGGAACTTCTGTTGAGAGGACCAAATATGCATTGACACCACACAGTGGCGTAGCTTGCATTCTGTTATTACCGAGGCAGGGGTCTGGGGTTGCGCCCCCCCTCCCCCCCCCCCAACCACTAGAAGCTGTTGAGGTTTTGCAATTTTAACAAGAAGAATCTATTAAAAATTATAACAGTTCTTTTATTTAATTTCCTCATAATAATATTAATATGCCTTACACTAAGTTATACTACAGATTTATTAGTTGATTACTGGTACCTACATCATTTTCAATCAACGGCTCAGATGAATACATAAATGTTCTCAAATACATTTACCACTTTTTCAAATTAAATCCTTTCAGTGAACTCAGATTCGTTGAGAATAAAAGGAGATGGATATGGGGAATACTTAAATGACACAGCACGTCAAACAATCAAGCTAAGAAACCATGTCAACTTACGTACAGAATTAAGAAAAAAAATAGATTTTAGCTAGCGCTTTACAAGTGGACGCAACAGCAAGATTCAAAACGTGCACTCTGCAATGATGATAATATATGCTCTTGGTTGGATTTGCTGTATGCAGGTTTTAACGAATACCAGAAACATTACCAGACATTATACGCTAGTACCATTTCTTGATAAACTAAGAAATACACACGTGCTACATGTAAAACGCATCACGGCACTTTTATGGGTTGTGTTTCGCCCTGATATTTCTTGGAATGTCTTCAAATTCTTGCATGGTTTTCCCATTGTTAAAGTGACAACCGTTGAAGTACTAACGGAAACATTTTCGTTTTTCTGAAGTCTTCATAATAAATGAAAACATTTTTATAAAGTTTTTATATAGAAACAGACATTTACTATACATGTCGCTGGAATAAATGACTCCTTCAAGTATTTTTGTCCATAATGTGATTTCCTTTCTTTTATATTTAAGCACCATTTTAAATCTCTATTCTTTTAAGTTTAAAATAATTTCAGGGCATGTTTCTGTATTCTGTAAACCTCACTCAGACCCTATATTCTAGGAATTATTCTCACACAAAATTAATAATTTACTTGCTCGTGAAATGGATCATCATCTATTCTACTGATTTTGCTTGGGGTAGGATTAAAATTTTCCAGCTTCAATTGTGTCGATTTCTTTTGACTCTGACATATTTAGAAAACTACCGCAAAGGAGTCGGATTTCCAGAGGGAAATGTTTCCACAAGTCTTGCATAACTCTCAAACGGTATGAATCAATAACGGCAACAAGACGATATACAAGTTGGTTTAGTAGCGAGTCTGCTGCATTTTGTGAAAAAAAAGTTTTTTATTTTTTAAAATTTTTTTTACCGAGGTTGCCTCAACGTAAGCTACGCAACTGTAATCCCCATTATAGGTTTCACTTATTCAATTGTCAATAACATCACAATCATGCGTTGTTGCGTCTTTCCGTCTGTTATAGGAGTGAATAGCTGGGAAACCAGGTACCCCCATTTTTAACATACTTTTAAAGGAGAAAAAAAACAGACGTAGAGAGAAATTAATCTACACTTCTTATACATGTATAATTGGATGAACTAAACAGATACTCAAATTCACAAGTATCAGATTAATGCGTTATTATGTATCAACATAAACTATTATTTGCTTAGTAATGTTTGTGAAAAAAAAGCTTAGGAAATGTCATTGACAGTTCATCACTTGATCAGTTATCAACATGTAGGTTAATGGCGTTCTCAGTACCTAACTTCTCAACATGAAATTGAAGAAGTCCCCTTTACCTGCAATTGATTGACATGTATTTTTACCGACCCTTTATCATCAAGGTAGAAAAATAAATTAATATGGAAAGAAAACCAACCTTAAACAAGAGGCTCTAAAGAACCTGAATCATGAACAAAAATATACCAATTTAATACATTATATTTATTTTTTTTTTTTAAATCTATTTTAAAATATACATTATTTTGAGAGCATTCAAATTATGCAGAGTGGAATAAATTGCCTTTTCTTCTGTTAATTATTTATAAAGAATAAAATCAGGATTAAGTTTTTTTTCTTCTTAATCTTCCAATCCCCATTCCCACCCTTCCTATACTCATATTGCCCTCTACTATAACTAAAGACCAATAAAATAAATTTTAGATCTCAATTTGCTTGTTTATCAATTTTACAGTTTACAGTTTCTCATTATTAATAATAACTGTTTTCACAATTATATCCAAAAACATCAAAAGTTCATAAAAATAATTAAAGGGTGATAACTCTTACACAATCTGATTTAAGTGCAGCACCTGTGTCCATGCTTTGCTTACAAGAATCTGACAACATTCTGTTCTGGTAATTATTGCATCAGCCAATGAAATTTCAGCATTCAAATTTTTGTATCATTATGACAGAACCAGAAGATCTCAAAAGAGAAAGCAATAGGGGCGGTTGTCAGTTCCTTGTAAGTGAAGCATGGACATAGGATCTGTATTCTAATCAGATTAACTGTCAGTTCCTTGTAAGTGAAGCATGGACATAGGATCTGTATTCTAATCAGATTAACTGTCAGTTCCTTGTAAGTGAAGCATGGACATAGGATCTGTATTCTAATCAGATTAACTGTCAGTTCCTTGTAAGTGAAGCATGGACATAGGATCTGTATTCTAATCAGATTAACTGTCAGTTCCTTGTAAGTGAAGCATGGACATAGGATCTGTATTCTAATCAGATTAACTGTCAGTTCCTTGTAAGTGAAGCATGGACATAGGATCTGTATTCTAATCAGATTAACTGTCAGTTCCTTGTAAGTGAAGCATGGACATAGGATCTGTATTCTAATCAGATTAACTGTCAGTTCCTTGTAAGTGAAGCATGGACATAGGATCTGCATTTTAATCAGATTAACTGTCAACTTAATGATTTTAGTAACTCTGCATTTTTGTATTGCTTTGATGGCGTCAGCCAAGTAACTGATTATGCAGATCTTGTAGGGTGATCATTTATGCTCTTTACAGTTTCTGGCTAGCTGAAAATTTGAGAAAGATTAATAGATCTTGATATTGTCCTGTCAGATTTTCTCTATCTTATTTTTGATAATGCATTTTACCTTTATGTTCTATTTTTAGCAAAGGTGGCCATATAAGATATCCTACGGATCATTTAATCAAAAGTTTGGGTGAAATTGGTCCAGTGGTTTAAAAGGAGAAGGTTTTCTTAAACAATTGAGATCAAATAGCCCTTTTAGCCAGTTGAGCTAAAAAAGAAAAATTAAACAACACGTCAAATAGATTGACAAGTCCTCACATGACATAGCCAACCATGATCTGACATAAGTTTTTCAATGACAATAACACTAATGAAGCTATTTTTAGGCAATACAGTGATCTTTAGTTGCTTACATCCTAGTCTTTTGGTATGTGATGGATACTGTAAATTCCGAAATTATCGCGTGCATTTATTATTGCGATTTTTGAAGAATGGGCTAAAATGCGAGATTAATTATTGCGATTTCAGGAAAATCTATAGACAGATATAAGTATCAGATATCAAAATGCAAGTTCTTATTATTGCGATCTTCATCCACTCGCATTTTTTTGCATTTAATAAAAACCTCGCAATAATTTCTGAATTAACAGTAGTTGTTTAATTGGAAATAATTTTATTCTCCTTTTATTTTAACTAAAGCAAATATAAGCAATCTTATCATTGCCATACCAGCGCATTTTAAGTAAGTTATGTGACATCATAATACCAATAAAATGTTGATAATAGGAAAGAGTGACAATATCGAATATTTATAATTTTATTAACAAATGATGATGAATCAAATAGCACTGTAACAATAGTTCTTGTAAGAAGTTCACTTTCAATGTCCTCTAATGAATCTGTTGATTCTCTGTGAACTTGCCATCAAATGATGATGAGAAAATGTTTATCATTCATAACCCCTGGAAACATAACGAAAAAAACAGTCAAAGGCTATAAATTCTAAATGCATAATGTGTGTAAAGTAGATAATAGAATACTGTAAATTTTAAGCTTTTGCATGCATTTATTATTGTGGTATTTAACAAAGAACAAAAATATGAGATAAATTATTGCAATTTCAGGAAAAGCTGCATTGAAATAATGACAACAGAAAGTGAGAGTTACATTTTTAAGAAACTTATCCCATTACAATTTTGCAATAATAAAATCTTTGCAAATATTTCCGACTTTAAAGCATTTATAATCTACATTGTACAATACATATCTTGCCTAATGAAAGATCTTTACACACAATTATTGACTTTTATATAAAAGACCCAATGAATTGAAAACTGGAACAGTCTACTCAATTAAATGAGGTATTTCCCAATTAATTTCTGTTTGAACTGGAGGTTTTACTATAACGTGTACTTACTTAATTAGATGAGCTATTTCCCAATTAGTTTCTGGTTGAGCTGGAGGTTTTACTATAGAACCATCTTTTGTTACTACTGCAACTTCAAACTGAAATTAAACAAGCAAATATTAAGTTAAACTTTTAAACATTTAATCAATATCAATGATGGGCTTTGAAATTAAAGACATTGGTGCAACACAACATTAAAATCTCTCCTCTGTATCTAAATATTTGATCAGCACTAATTTTCGAAGGTGTCAGAGAAATTGCTGATATAAACCTATGATATAAGTTTCATAAAGATCTGTCAAGAACTGTACATGTGACAGCGCTAACAAGACGGACGCCCAGTATTTCTGTGTCCCCAGCAGCGCGTTGCATGGAGGACAAGAATGTGGATATTGCTTCAAAACAAATAAGATTGAACAACACATTATTTCAAATTTTTATTTTGTTGATTGATTGTTTCTTCCTTAATATCTAATGTCAATTATTTCATGCACATTCTGGATTATTTTGTTCTGATGGTTTATATATAGATTTTAGGCAAGGAAAACATGTTATTTTCAGTTAGGAGCATGAAATTAGTTCCATTCTTTTTTCCATTTTTCGATAATTTCAATGCTAATTTTTTAGCATTTGAATCTTCATTATAAAAATATAAAATATAAACAATATCCAAACCAGCTTTCACACAATAAGGTGTATGGGTTTGGGTCTTGGTAAAAAAGTGTTTTTATACCCCCATTCCTATGAATTTAATTTGGGAATATCCCTAACTTAATAACAAAATGGTGTTACACAGCAATTTTACCTTGTTTATTGATCTAGCATCTCTGTAATATAATATCTTCATACATCTTTCTATCTGTTGTTGTGCTTCCTCTAAACTCATGTTAGGGTTATTCTCATAGGCTTCTCTTAATAAAGGCTGAAATGCATATAATTATTATAAATCTTTCGACCTTTAAGAAAATAAATATATTTTATCAACATGTATTTGTTACTGATGTAAAAGAAGGGATATTAAATGTGATTATTTGACACATAATTTAGAAATATGTTAAGTTGTTTTGCATCTTTAAAGTGAATTTAACAGCCTTTGTGGTCTTGTAGTATTCACAGCTTTTCCCCTAAGCAGGTAGCATTTAAATGACTTAAGGTAGTGTCACATGTCTTCCTCAGCACTGTTACCATCACAATAAATGATGATATTGAATATGGATGTTAAACGCCAAGTTATACATTAAATACATAATATTCAGACCAAAAGATATTGTGGTATAAATATGAACCCTGCTTGCACTAGACCCACTCACTGAGCCCAATTTTTAAAGTGCTAGTTCACAAGGTAACAGTCCTTAGGTAGACGTGTCACCCTACCCGAACACATATCATTCTGACTCCTTTCTGACCATTCTTTGCTCTTACTCCTGAATGCTATGTGCTTAGCAGAGAAGTAGCAAATACCAATTTTAAATCTCTCCTTTGACCCAGACGGCGCCATGATATAGCTTACCAGCAAGTGACTATAAGATTATGATTGCACTTTGTACGTAGTTTACCAAAAAAAGTAGAAAATATCATTTCTCGTTGAAAATAGCTGCATTAATGTGACTTACATTTGCTATATATGCTCCGTAACCAGTACAAATAGTTGGTGCTTCATAAGCTATACCTATCTTGTCAACATAACCTAAAAATCTGTAATATATAAAAAGCAATGTTATTGGCAATCTGTACAGTTTGTTAGTACTGATCAATATTTTTTTAGATCACAGACTGGATGTTATACTAAAAAAATTTGGCAATAACATCAAGTAACAATGTTATCATGTCATGCCACATCAATTTATCAATGAACTGCATGCAATGTCATTCATACAATTAAACAAACTATCACAAAACTTTGTACACATTAAACATGTTAAAATAGTTTTATATTATAAATTACTTCTTAAACAAAAAAACATACAGATAAGACAAATTGCTTATTAAAAGAATAATAGCATGTATCATATTAATATGGACTTCACAGGCTAACTGGATATTCTTGCTGATAAGGTCAGTATAAAAAATAATGAGTCATTATCCCATATTTACTACTATAACGACATTAAAACTCTAACTTTTACGACATAGATTGGCAACAGGGGGTGGTAAATGGGCAAGAAAGGTTACCAGGTAAACACAACCACATTTTGTGCCTGTGCCAAGTGAGACTATCAGACCATGTGTTGTTTGTTGTTCTTTGTCTTTGTTTCTGCATCAATTTTTATCTATAAAAATTAGGTGTTGGTGGTTTGTGTTGTACAGCTGTCTAATATTCTCTGTTTTATTCTGCTATCCTTTTAATGTATAATTCATTTGCCTCATATGCTGATATGTGAAGAGTTTATCTAAATGATAATTAACGATGTCAATAAAATAACTGGTTGTTAATTGAAATTAACACTGATTACTTAGAATGATGCAGACCTTAAACTTCTATATAATGCAATTATGTGTTATTGATTAAAGGGGCTACTGCTAATGACATCAAACTCATCTTTTAAGTAATTGTATCTTAATCATGTTAATAATTACATCTGTGATTTTTTTTTCAAACAAAGGCTACAGCCTATTGAAAAATACCTTTGATATATATTATATATATCCCCCATATCCCCTTTGATTCAAAATGAAAGTTAAGTAACTGATTATGTATCATTAAGTGTGGATTTACATTTTACTCCTTGTACCCAAAGGATGATTGACTGAGTTACTAATAGTACTGCCTGTATTTGATTTACTGATTACATGGATCTCCATCCAGTTATCCTCCAACAACAGAATACTTACGGTTCTCCATCCTGTAATCCTCCAACAAGGAACACATTCCAAAGTGGATTAAACTGTGACCTTCTGTTATATAGAATTCTGGTCATCCATGAGTACAGTCCTCTTGGTGTATAACCAAAACCATCATTTAAACATTCTTCATCTATTCTGTAAATATATGTGCAAAACATTTAGTTGTATTTAAAATATTTAAATTAACAAATTAGCCACGTTAACCTCTAAATCATTTCAATGCAAACAAGATAGGATATCCATGATTATCGGTAGACATCCAGGAAAATACATTCAAACAAAACAAGTGTACCAAAAAAGTGCAAATAATGTATATATATACATGTTGTACATGTATACATGTCAACACCAATTTAAATGTGCCAAAACTAAATGAAAAGCTCTAAAAACATAAATTGGTTCAACAAAGCTACCATAGGTCTACACAATTTTGCATACATTTAATCTCACCATTGAGGTTAAACTGGATCACAAAATATAAATGATGTTAGTTTAAGCTATTTTTTTTTTTAATAATTTATAGTGTTTGATATTAAATAGTTTATCAGGCATGTGAGAATTTATAGTCTTGGTACAACAATTGTCTTTGTACTACATGTACTATGAATATTAAATGTGTTTATTATATAAGAATTTATTACATTTGAAAAGACACACACATGCCAATCTCGTTCTAAACCTTTTGGTATATACATGATATGTAAATGTAATATGATTTTTAATTTTCCAATATTTTGTTAACATGACCACTTCTTATTTTGATATAAATCTTTTGTTTTTGGTCAATGGTGTTCATTTTTACATGTCAACAAAGTCAATCATGTTGTGTGCATACATGGCGACCCACAGAAACTGCACTAAACCCCTCTCTTAGGCCTTAACCTTATTGACTTTTCAGCCTCTACATTTCATTCTACATATTTGTAATAATAATAGAAAAAAATTGTCATGTTGCATCAGAAATGACTTACACTCTTTGTTCAATAACACTCTGTAAATACTGGAAATCTGCATAATCTCCCCCACAGCCAATTATTGTACTGTCATTAACCTTCATTACACGAGAGAGATTCCTGTACCGAGCCAGTGAGCCGTATGATCCTAACATGTCTGCAGCTATCACTACCCCACCATTAAACTTTATACCTAGGACAGACGTTCCAGTTACAGTAGGTGCTCTGAAACATAGAAATAATGATTTAGATATTGTTTAAACACAGGTTGTCTATCCTTACATATTGACATCGAGTTTGTGAATCTGTCATGAATGTAGTATATCTGGTTTATGGTTGTATTTCATCAACCGAACTGGAGCACACTAGTTTTAAAGTCATTTGTTTTTTATCCTTCAGTCACAAAAAGGCTTTAACAAATATTGCTAATTAGACCCACACAGTTTTGGGATATGCCAAAGGAAGAGCTTTTATCTGATAACATTTTTTATCCTTCAGTCACAAAAAGGCTTTAACAAATATTGCTAATTAGACCCACACAGTTTTGGGATATGCCAAAGGAAGAGCTTTTATCTGATAACACCTGAAAATTTTCTATTTTTAATTATTTTTTGGGGGGAAAATGTAAGGGTCGGTCCAGCAACCAGAAACACACTTATTTTTTTTGGCCTCAATCATGTCAATACACCATATATAGATATAAGAAGATGTGGTATGAGTGTCAATGAGACAACTCTCCATCCAAGTGAAAATTTATAAAAGTAAACCATTATAGGTCACAGTACGGTCTTCAACACGGAGCCTTGGCTCACACCGAACAGTAAGTATAAAAGTAAACCATTATAGGTCACAGTACGGTCTTCAACACAGAGCCTTGGCTCACACCGAACAGTAAGTATAAAAGTAAACCATTATAGGTCACAGTACAGTCTTCAACACGGAGCCTTGGCTCACACTGAACAGTAAATTTTTTTGGGGAAAAGGTAAGGGTCAGTCCAGCAACCAGAAACACACTTATGTTTTTTGGCCTCAATCATGTCAATACACCATGACTAGTTATGGAAAAGGGATGGTGAAATGATGACAATGATGATGATATTTCGGAAAGAGATATAGAAATTTTTCTGGACTGTTATATGAGAGAATAAATTATAATCTTGTCTTGTTATTTTAAACATCAAATTTCAAAAGTCCTAAAATTCTTCAAATTTTTTGGGACTGTAAAATAAAGTCAGGGCTTGTGGTTTTCCAGGAACCACATGTACAGGCCCAGTTGGATAGTGGTCTGAAAACATTTTTGTGAAGAGTCAAGACTGTATAAGGGAGACAACTGTGATTTACATTTTGTACAAGTCGCACAGGAAAACAAAAATAGCTACATTTTTGTACTGAAAGAAAAATCGAGATTTTCAAAACGACCACGGACTCATACGATTAAATGAAATAAATACAATGGCGACTTTGAACATCCTTGAATTTAACATTCAGAACTATTTAAACAGTAAACCGAGCGACTGTTTTAGTTATCATTTACGATGATGCTCGTCACGAGGATGTTGCTTAATCACTCAGCTGATTTGTTTTATTTTCATTTATTACGAGCTGACCAGTTGTACTATTTGGAAGGTCTTTAAGCAGTGGGAATTAACGGGAGATTTTTTGCTATTAATTGAATAATCAAAGTGCTTGTGAGCACTGAAGATTAAAGATTGCTTTTGTTTTGCACTTAAGTGAATTTTTAAATAAAACGTTGAATTGTATTTTGCTAGGCTAATTAAAAATTTGAGTTGGACATGTTGGAGTTATCTTCCTTTGTTCATGATTTGTAGTTGAGCCTATTTTTATAACAGATTCATACACCATCATGACCATGCATTCCTTATGTAATTTTTAATAAAAAATGTTTTCTTGGCAAGTATTGTAATTCAAATACACATCATGATGATCATATTGTAACTTAAATATCAAAGTATAACATACATCAATAAATTGCCTGACATTGACCATGTTGACTGGATAGGATCGAAATAATGATCACTTCACTGCACTATTTTGTTTGAACTATCAAAGGTAGTGATAAACCTTGGAAGATATAAATATCAAGTCAGTACCATAGGGTTTTGATTGCATTTCATGCAACTTCTACCCAAACATTGAAATTTGTAAAAAGTAATAAAAGAACAGAGTTCAAATGTCCCCCTTATTGTACATATTTTATCTATCCAAGGGCGATTTACAAAAAAAACTTCTTTTTTTTGTTCTTTAAAACTTTTTACAAATATCTTAGAGAAATGAAGGCTTGAGAGCAAATACTATGCAATTTCCAATATAATTAATATTTCCAAGTTGCATTACTCTTTTAAAAATAGTTGATCGGCACTGATTTTCGAACTTGTCCGAGACATTGCTGATATATATAAACCAATGATATAAGATTTATAAAAATCTGGCAAAAATTGTGAGAATACTAACAAGACCAGACAGACAGACGGAAGGACGGATTTCTATGTCCCTGTACAGCATTGTGCAGGGGACAAAAAAACGTGACTGATGCATGATACAACCTACCCTAAATTATAATATTTTTTTATCAACTTTAAAGTGCTTTGGCACTATCAGGGCTCACGGTACTGGGCGTTTCACACTCCTCACTTCGCTTTTCTTGAATGCGAAAACCAATATCTAGTTGCACGGGTGTTAGACAGACTCTTTTGTCATCAGCAAGTTTCCTTTTGTAAATGTTTTGTAATGGCATTTTTTTCATTTATAATTAAAGAACCTTAGTGAGCGCGCTCACATACCCCACGTCCCCACATTGTCACTGGAGAAATAAAATAACAGTAAGAAAAAAAAATTGAATCATAATTTCCTGTCAATATGCACATCAACATAGTATGTCCTTATTATCTACAAAGTTTCATGAAATTCTGTTGTGTGGTTTCAGAGGAGTTGCGATGACAAACTGTTGCAGAGGTACATGTATATTGAAGCAAATAAGTTCAAAGCGGCGTAACTCCTAGAAAAAAATTGAATCGTAATTTCCTGTCGATATGCACATCTACGTAGTACGTCCTTATTATCTGAAAAGGTTTCATGAAATTCTGTTGTGTGGTTTGAGAGGAGTTGCAATGACAAAAGGTTGCAGTAGTATATTGGGCAAATAAGTTCAAAGGGGCATAACTCCTGGAAAAAAAATTGAATCACAATTTCCTGTCGATATGCACATCTACGTAGTATGTCCTTATTATCTACAAAGTTTCATGAAATTCTGTTGTGTGGTTTCAGAGGAGTTAAGATGACAAACTGTTGCATTAGTACATTAAAGTAAATAAGTTCAAAGGGGCGTAACTCCTAGAAAAAATTGAATCGTAATTTCCTGTCGATATGCACAACTACATAGTATGTCCTTATTATCTAAAAAGGTTCGTGAAATTCTGTTGCGTGGTTTGAGAGGAGTTGCGATGACAAGAAACAGACTGACGGACGGGTAAAAAAAAAAATCTCAAGAGATGCAGCAGGCTTTGACAAAACTGAACCTTTCGGAGGACTCAATAATGGTCATAAAATAGGTTGTAAGTTGCAAAATGATGCTCCTATCTCAAACTAGCATTTTATAACAAAAAAACTTGCATTATACGTCAATTGGTCTATACCAATATATGTCAATTGGTGGATTATATGTCAATTGAGGTATAATCCACCAATTTAGGGTTCGACACTAACGCTAGTCCGCTAGCCAGAGGCTAGTAAAATTTGGGGAGGGCTAGTAAAGTTTTCATCACAGTAGTCCGACGGGCTTGTCAAAATTTTGTTTAAAACTAGGAATTTCACAAAATTATTGTCAACAAATCCCAGATGTATTGCTGACCTTTGCAGTCTTTGTTTTACAGTTTATTCACGTATATTTTTATTGTCAGACATTTTTAACATCAAAGGTACTTTTTGGGGAGGGGAAAGCAACGGATATAATGATGGTACAGTACTTAATACATTGAAAACCACGTTTGTTACAAATGCCGTGATGATTCTAATCAGAAAAAACCTGGATCTCAAAAGTGCTTTCATAATATCAAAATAATAACATGAATACGAAATTTACATACATGTACATTACTACCGATACCATCACTGTTTGGGAAAAATGTACAACTTATTGGGAGGAATTTTAAGCCATTTTTTTTAGTAATTGGGAATTTTCTCTTGGGGGAAAAAGCTGTATTTTGAATGTAATTTGAGGCAACCAATATCACTGAATTATTGTCATATATACAAAATTATAGATCTCTGGTAAAAATATACAGATTTTTAGGAATTAAATCTTGTCCTGCAAAATAAAATAAACTGACAAACAACAAGGGAAAAGAAGGAGTCCATGAAGAATTATGACAAAATAAATGACACAGATGATGCCCCCGCTTGCATATCATATAGTTATAAAGAGACTTAACTGAAGAACGATAAAAGTGACGCTACCCAAATTTGAACTTGATCTGAGTTTTGTGGTAATAAGCATTGTGTGTAAGTCTCATAACATTTGGTTGAGGCTAACTTAAGTAAGAACAGAAACTAAAAATTCAGCAATTTTTCTATTTGTAAACACCCATAACTCTAAAACAGTTGTGTATAAGTTTTACAACATTTGGTTGAGACAAACAAAAAAATTCAGCAATTTTTATGTTTATAAAGGGACATAACTCTAGAATGGTAAAAGTGTTGCCACCTAATTTCGTACTTAATCTGTATTATGTAGTAATAAGCATTGTGTATAAGTTTCATAACATTTGGTTGAGGCAAACTCAAGTTAGAGAACTGAAACAAAAAATTGTACTTGATCCTTACTGAGTTTTGTGGTAATGAATATTGTGTATAGGTTTCATAATGTTTGGCTGGGGAAAACTTCAGTTACAAAATGGAAACTAAAAAAATTTGCAATCTTTCTATTTATAAAGGGGCATAACTCAATAATGGTTAAAGTGACACTACCCAAATTCAACTTGATCTGTGTTTTATCAGTGGAAGTCAAAGTTAAACATTGCATTGTATAAAGCATTGATTGTAGTTGATCCAACTATAATCATGGTCAAAGGAAGATAACTCCAATTTTAAAAATATATTATATAAACTTGATATTTAGAAGAAAATAAAAATTTTGCAATTTTTCCTTTTATAAAGGGGCATAACTCTAGATCGGTTAAAGTGACACCACCAAAATTCAAACTTGATCTGTGTTTTGTGGTAATAAGCATTGTGTATAAGTTTCATAACATTTGGTTGAGGCAAACTTAAGTTAGAGAACGGAAACTAAAAATTTTGCAATATTTCCTTTTATAAAGGGGCATAACTCTAGATCGGTTAAAGTGACGCCACCAAAATTCAAACTTGATCTGTGTTTTGTGGTAATAAGCATTGTTTATAAGTTTCATAACATTTGGTTGAGGCAAACTCAAGTTAGAGAACGGAAACCAATTTTGGGACGTACGGACGGATGGACGTACGTACGTACAGACAAGGGTAAAACTTAATGCCCCCTCCGCTACGGCGGGGGCATAAAACAGCAAGGGCAAACCTTTCCTCTTTTGAGTTTGTGGGTGTATTTTTAAATCCCTTACTTATCCATCTTCATTAAAGACACTAGTAATAATATAGATGATTAAAATATGAAATTTAAAAAAAAATTTTGGGATATTTTTTATTAGCAAACCAGTGAAATTTCATGAAACAAAACATGTTCAAAAACCCTCTGGAAATGCTCCAGAACACAGGATTTAGTTTCATTTGTATCAAAATTTTCTGGGGGGGCATGCCCCCAGACCCTCCTAGATAGGGTCGTGCAGGTGGCATGACAGTCCAAGTGCCTTTGGCACTTGGATGGCTAGTAAAATAAGAAGAGGACTAGTAGAATAATAATTTCACTAGCCATGCAGGCTAGTACATACATTTAGTTAGTGTCAAACCCTGCCAATTGGTGGTTATTCCTGACCTGTTTAAGGGGTAGTTATTTCAACAATGTGTCTAAGTGAAGAATGTGTACTTACAAGAAAGAGAAAAGAGGATACAAGTCAAATCGGCATCTGGTTAACTCGACACCTAAGTCACCTATACAAAAGTCAAATCGGCACCTGGTGCCTGCCGAAGTGACTAGAATTTGAAAAAGGGGGGACTTGGAACACTATTTCGTCTTTCCATTTGTTCTTGTTAATTGTTAGATGCCTTACAGTGTACGTTTTGCTGCACCAATCTGTGATTGATTTTGTGTTGCATTATGTCCTGGAAAATTGTAAACGGAACCAGGAGATGGTCCATTTCTCCAAAATTCTGTAGACATCATACTCTCCGAAGTCATCTTTTACCGGAAGTGGATACCGACTGCATTACTCTCTAAATGATTGAATTGAAAAGAATATATGAAAAGTATTGTCCAATGCAAATACAACAAAATATTCATATAAAGTTCAAAAGCCCCATTATGATTAAAATTTCTTTCAGAATGATTTGGAATTTAAAGTGCCAATGTGTTTAAAGACTAATTCATACCAAGGGAGGTAACTTACAATGACAAAGTGAAAGTAGGAGGAGCAAACCAAAAAAACATAAATATGTTGCGAAAAACGAATAGATTCTGATTTTATTTTATATTAAACAAAGTAATCAGGTCATCTTGTAACATAAGCGTGAATGTAAATAAGTTTAAGCATCTATATCTCGATAAAAAGGTGGGAAATACCAAAGGGACAAAGAAAAAACACAAGCCATTTTATATATTGTATAGTGAGACAAATCCTTGCTTAAACAATTATTTAATTAAATGTATAAGGACAGTGTATGTATGTCTAAAACCAACCAGAACATAATGTCTTGTGGTAGAGTAAATGCTTCTGAAGACCCTTCAAATACCTGTCATGTCAAACATACCTGCCTGTTTCAATCCTCAATGTCAATGCCAGACAATGGCACAAATTGTCATGAATTTGCAGGTTACTCCTTCATGCTTTATGCTCAACATATTATCTGTGTGTGGTTTTTAAAGGGTATGCACTGGTTAACATTGGGATTGAGGAACTGCAGTATCCAATCTTCCAGTTCTGTCAAACAGTCAGGGGACTTATTGAAATAAGTGATTTTTAAATCACTTATTTAAGTAGCAAATTCGAAGTTTTGTCACAAATTGTGATTTTGTAGTTTTACCAAAATTTTAAACACATAGCTTTAGATAATATCTTTTCATTAGTAAAATTGAAAAAAATGAACTTTTTGCCTCTTTTAAGCATCAAGGTTTATGCTTTTGATGCAATCATTTACAAATGATTTAGCTGCAAATTCTATTTTACTTGAAAAAATGCTATAAAAATGGCTTTACATAATGAACTGATACTTTCTCAACAGATTTTTCCCAGCAGTGGGAGTATTTTTCCTGTAAAATTCAAGGTTTCATCTTATAGATTATGTAATAAAATTCTACTGTTCGCGATCAAAATTTCACTGTTCAGGGTTTTGAAATTAGTGGGGGTTATTAAAATAATGATACTTAAAGAAGTGATTTTTTGGAAGGAAATTGAGGTATGATACTTGAACAAGTGATTTTTATGTCATTATATTATCCTAGATTTAGTACAAGGTCATCACCTGACATGACCTGGTCATCCTATCAACACAGATGTTGGTTCTGATAATTTTAGCAACATAATTAGTTCCTGGATCATTAGTATTCTATATTTAAAGCTACAATAAAATTAAATCACTTAGTCTAGTGATTAATTTGTACTACTTAAATAGGTGATTATTAAAGAAAGACAACTCTTACTTCAAACCTTTATGTACATAATGTTACTTGAATCAGTGATTTAGAAAATCACTCATTTAAGTAAGTCCCCTGACTGTCAAAATTAGTTGCCACTGTTAGTAGTTTGGCTTTAGTCTCTTCAATGTTCTCACCTTCTGGTTACTATGGTTGATAAATTCAGGTTTGTGATATTTGATTGAACATATTTTCTCGTTAGTTCTCAATGCAAGCATGGCAAGGAAAATCCAAGAGAAAGTGGTGAGGTGTTTCGGATGCTCCACAGTTGCATGACTCTATGCTGTTGCTTTGCACTACTTATTTCTTGTAGTAGTTTAGTTCTGTGTAGTCAGTCAATTGAGTGAATATGCTGAAATGTCTTTTAGTTGGAAAATCATACAGAATTGTTATCATTTCGTATAAGTCCTTGCCTCTCTTAGATATTTCCCATCCTCTCTACCATTTTCAAGCTGTTGAAAATCTCCATTGGGGGTTTTATGCAAGACAACAATTTAAGTGTTACAATTTTAACAATGTATTTGCATGAATGATTTTTTTATTCTAGATATCTCCAATTCATAGTATTGCCTTCAAATGCTTTTTAATACAATGCAATTTTTCCTACTGTACATTGCTGTAGAATGAATGCAATCTTTACCCTTCAGTGCTCATTTTGAAGTTTTAAGTTGGATTGTGTCCCAATCTTGTATTATTTAAGTATGTTGTGGTGCATTTTTGTTTAGATTGTTGTTGGTTATTAGTCATCTAGTCATATTATTCTTAGTTCCAGTTCCAAAAGAGTCAACAATAGGATCTGTATTCTAAAACTATCTTCTTTTTCGTAACAAATTGTTTCAATGCGAGAAATAATCTATTGCAATAGATTTTCATTATACATGTATTTTATATACATATAATTCTTTGCATTTTACTACCATGTTTATCTATTCGGTCATTACCATTTATTGTAAATGCGTTTGGCCAATAAAATATTGTCTATTGTCAATTGTCTATTGTCTACAGACTTAAAAGTTTTAAAAAGTACAAACAAAAATTTAAGAGCCCACTCAAGATTTTTCAATACCCTTTAAATTTTCAGAGTTTGACAGGTATGATTGTAACAAACCTACCATTTGAAGTTTAATAGTTGCATTCACAAATTTGATAGAAGAGATCTGTTTTTTTTCTGAATTTATAATCCCAATACATGCAACTATTTTCAGATATTTTTTGAAATGTCAGACCTAAAAGATGATGTTAAGGTTGAGCATCCACAGAAAAATTTAAATGAAGTTTCTAGTGACCATACAGATGATACTAATAATGCTACCAAAGAAGATGTGAAAACAGATAGTAAGGGAGATAATTCTACAGAAGATCAAGGTATGATAATAGGTAACAAGAGCACAATTATTTGTTTACATTTTACCGGCAAGTTTTTTTACCCAAAGATGATACTCAGAATAGAATCTTGTACGGCTTCTGATTGGATGATACAGGATTGGAATTACTTTTAATTGAAAGCTTATCTAATTAGGTTTAAAAAATCCAGAAAATCAAATTTACATTTTACAAAGTAAAGAAAATATTTTCAATATCTGCACGTCGGAGCCATTAAAAATCTGCCTTTTTCATAAAGCGAAAAAAATAGATGATGTTTTTCAACTGCATTTTAAGTCAATTTTTACCGCATGACCATATATATTTTTTTGGTTGTTATGCAACACTGACATTTCTAGTAACACCCCAAGGGTAACTGGGGAATAGAAGTATGGTCACCATTGGCCTTCCTCCGACCGGCAGTAAAACCCTTGCCAAAGTGGAGCGTCCATTTGGCTGTGCAGGATGTACAAATTTGCAGCCATGTCCGATCAGATTGGGGACACTAAATCCATTCCCTTGTGTAAAGAGAGTGCCACACTCTTTGCACGTTAAGAACCCTAGCAACAACTCTTTGAGGGGTCCGTAAAGGCTAAATTTCTGTCCCTATCCAATATACCCTCATTTCCCGCGGCAGTCTAAATTTCTCCGACCTTCATCCTGGACGCCTCTATTACAGAACCTACCTATTGTATTAATTGTTAATTTGTTCTTGTCCTGAATATGCTTGAAATATTTCCGACTGGACGTTAAGCAACCAACAATCAATCAATCATTTCTAGTAACAGGAACTGCTACCCATTTTTTCCTAGTTTGTGTAGTCTTCGAGAAAAAAAATATGGAACACCACTTGTACCCTATGGAATTGCATTACAAATAATTGCACTCTTGTAACCAATAAATAAAAACTGTAGGAAGGGAGATAACTAAAGATGATCAGGGTATGATAATAAATAAAAACCGTAGTAAGGGAGATAATTCTACAGAAGATCTGGGTATGATAATAAATAAAAACTGTAGGAAGGGAGATAACTAAAGATGATCAGGGTATGATAATAAATAAAAACGGTAGTAAGGGAGATAATTCTACAGAAGAAATGGGTATGATAATAAATAAAAACTCTTAGAAAGGGAGATAATTCTTCAGAAGACCAGGGTATGACTAGATAAAAACTGTAGGAAGGGCGATAATTCTACAGAAGATCAGGGTATGACAGTAGATGAAAACTGTGTATAATCCTTGTTTAAAGTTTCTTTTGAATAATAAAAAAAACTAGAAATTGAAATAGGGGGCATATTTTGCCTATTGATCAGATCAGAAGTGTGGACTGTTCGTCATTTTGTCTTTTTTTCTTTTGGCCATGCAGTTGTCGGTCTTTCATTGAATTCTGACTTTTGATAATTCCATCAGTATAAATATTAACACAGCATTTTAAGAAGGTTGAAAGGTTTAAGTGGTTTAAAAATCAAATGAGATAAAAATTCAATACATGCTGTATACTAAAATGTTAACATTGCTGATTTGCCATTGTTTAATTCTAATTCCAGCTAGTTTTTTTGAAAATTTTTTAAAATCTACACTGCAATCTTCTCTAAAAATGACAGAATTAATAAATATGCAATAAACATATTACAGAGCTCCAGATAAGCTGTGTATTTGCGTGTTTACGCAATAAAAACAATTGAAAACCCAATCCAATTGATAATTGCAGCGTTCAAAAACTCAATTCATGCAAAGGAAAACCCAATTATATGTCAAAACTATGGGTTCTAAACCCTACTTGTTGCTATCGTGTGCGTTATTTACCCTTGTCGATTAATTGTTGTCGCGTAAATCTATTTTTGTAATACTGTAAATTCAGAAATTATTGTGAGGTTTTTATTATTGCGAAAAATGCGACAGAGTTGTAAACGCAATAATTTAAACTCGCATTTTGAAATATTTTATATGAATTAAACATGATTTTTCTCAAAATCGTTAAAATTAAAATCGCAATTAAGTCTAAACATGCTAAAATGACAAAATCGCAATAATAAATGCACGCAATAATTTCTGAATTTACAGTATTAGGAAATCAGAGTTAGGAAATCTACTTTCGTTCTAAAAATAGAGCGTACATCAACTATCTGATCTGGGTCTCTGTTGGAAGGAATTATCCGTCAATCAAAGCTGTATCCCGGTAAACATAAGGGACCAGTTTATAAAATTTTATTTGGCAGACCATAAGTTGGAGAGGCAGAAAAAAGCACTGCTAGTTACAAAGTTGTATATTCTGTTGAACTATTGACAACAGAACGCTGTGCGGAATCACAAAAGTACACAAGTCACATCAATTCCTTAATGGAGAAGGCGACAACTCCAAAAGAACCCGTGGCTAAATTAAATTGATTAAAAGGGGGTCTCATATAAATATTGCTCTGAAAGTAAGTCTACCGCAAGCAACATTACAACATGTACAAGTGTTTGGGGCCACAAAGGGACCCCAAATATTCAGCTGTCAGTAGTGACAAGACATAATGAGAGCGCTGAACATATGGATATCATCACTAAACATTTACACCTTGCCAAACTTGCCTCTAATTTTGAATGTGTTGATAATGAGTCTGGCTCACACTTCATTATTCTAAAGCCTGACAACATGTTCAAAACTATTTATCATACTTGGAAAAATAAAATGCCGACAAACAATGTCAACGGATTGTTATAATAACCCCAACAACGAAATACCAGGGGATATCGTATGTGCTCTAGAAAGATAATCAGTTACTGGCCACCTTGTGACACCAGTTTATTTAGATTGATAGAAAATACAAAACTGGCGGAACAGTTGAAACAAACCAGACACAAATTAAACAAAAAATTGCTCGTCAGTGTTTAAACCAAATAAAACAGCTATCACATACATGACATACATACTTGACAAAAAACATATTTAAGATAACAGGGGATGAACATCTTCGTTTGATATGATAATATTATAACATGCCTCAATTCAATATTTAGATGATGAAAAAACTTAATACATTCAGGAGCTTGGTGGTGAAAACCCCAATTTGATATTTGCTAGAGGGGTGAATTGGAATTAAAAATGCAATTGAAAAAACTATTTCACTCAATTACATCAAAATAGTTGGGTAAACAACCCAATTTGTGATTTTTTATCTGGAGCTCTGAACATATTACTGTGGACTCATTTTGGTCTCGCCTGCGACAAAAGTCGCGGAAAGCGAGACAGGGATTGCTCTCCTGCGACAAAAGTCGCGGAAAGCGAGACAGGGATTGCTTTCCTGCGACAAAAGTCGCGGAAAGCGAGACAGGGATTGCTCTCCTGCTGCGGAGACGGCTGCAATGATGGCGTCAACAGTTGTTAATTTTTCAGCTTAAGTTAGTTTGATAGGAACTACTTATGGTAGATCATTGATATTTTGTATGAAGTTGCATTACTATCAGTACATATCAGTTTGACGACAATTTTGAGGCCCTGCCCCCTAGGCCATGGTCTAGTGACTTTGATTTAATTAGCCATTTCAATGTTAAGTTTTCTGCTTAAGTAATATTGATATGAACTACTTGCGATAGATCAATGATATTTTCTTTAAAGTTGCATTACTATCAGTAGATATCAGCTTGATGACTATCTTAAGGCCCTGCCCCCTAGGTCATGGTCCAGTGACTTTTAATCAATTAACAATTTTCAATGTTAAGTTTTATGATTAAGTTAGTTTGATAGGAAGTACTTACAATAGACAATATTTTCTATAAAGTTACCTTGCTGTTTGTACATCTCAGTTTATGAACCATTTTTCAAGGCCCTACCCACTAGTTGGTCCAGCGACTTTGAATTAATTAGCAATGTTGCTGTCCATCAGATTGTCTTTTTCTGAATTTTATGACGACAGGCGAGACATATCTCTGTGTCAACAGTTTATTATTTGTGGGTTTCTATTTTTTTATGGAAGTACTATTCTCCTACAGGCATGACAGGCTTGGATACAAAATTTGTTAAAACCAAGCAGCCAAGAATCCACCAAAACACAATTTTTTCTGAACCTAACAAAATTGGTACCCACAAATTAAATATAAATGAATTTACAATATACTGATTTCATTGCACACTGAACACATTTCTGGAACAATCATAAGGTATACATGAGACCATGATATTAGGAGGATAAATACATAAAACATGTGGGGTCTTCAAAACTGTATATTGAATTTCTTTTTTATGCAACTATCAATATATTATATTTTCAGGAAATTCAGATTTAGCAATAAATCCAGAAACATTAGAAAAATTAACTTTAGGATTCCTGTCCCATTGTTTACCTGATTTACAAAGAGCAAAAGGATCATTAACTGAAATATTGTAAGTCACTTGTATTCTTTAGATATAGATTGAATGATTGATTGATTGTTGGTGTTTAATGCCACTCTCAGCACACTATATCATGGTGGCTAGTTATAAATGGTGGAGGAAGCTGGAGAGAACTACTGACCATCAGCAGAAAAAAGGGCAATCTTAGTCAATTAGGATCTTATAATTAGACCAACACACAATGCAATGCACAGGGTTCAAACTCACAACCTCTGTGTTGACAGGATTGGCTTATTATGTCAAAAGAAATTTATCTGTACCAAATTCTCCAATTGAAAAATATACCTGTTAAGGTTGCTATCTAATTGATGTTACTCCAACTCTCTATTTACTGTGGATTCATTTATTTTCGTGGGTACCAATTTTCGTGGATTGAGGAAACTTTGTATTTTCGTGAATATTTGATTTCGTGGTTTTTTTAAGGTCTGCATACAAGCCTAGATAATATTTGTATTTCGTTGAATATTTAAATTCTTGGTTCACCTGTAACCATGAAATCAACGAAAATTGGTATCCCACAAATAATAATGAATCCACAGTATTCAGATTAACAAAGTTTATCAAAGATCTAATATCAATACAGTTCTCTGATTGAGGGTGTGGATGGGGTTTACAGAGTTGAAAATAATGGTAAAAAAAATAAGGAATACACAAAAATGGCCTAACAAATTATAGAATACAGAATGAATAATCCCATCCAGACCCTCCTAAATTACTAAGACAGAGCATTAATATACAAGTTTTGCAGGAATCTTGAAACTTGCTTTCAAGATAAATATCTGTTCCCTTTTCAAACATTGAAAATTTATTTTTCCCCTAAGTGATAGCAAACTATGATGTTAGACAGAACCAGTCAAAATAGTTTATTGTATTAGAACCTTTTTTTACATCTGAATAGAGCTGAGCCAGTCAAATTTTGCTTCATTTCATCTTTAGAACCAAAAATAATCTTTTACTATTTATTTTCAGAAACAGTCAGAACATTTTACATGAAACAGCACAAAATGAAAACAGTAAATTTAAGATCAATGAAGATGTAGAACAAACTGTAAGTCAATTTCAGTAATGCTTAAAATAGTATTATATATATATATATATGTATGAGCTGCATCGGATAGAAATCGACCTCATGCAAATTAATATCAATACATCTGTTAACCTAGTTCCGGTTAAAAAAATCTCTATGCAAAGTCTGCAACTGTTTGAAAATTGAGTTGATATAAGAACCCTACAAAACAGACCAACATTCATCTTTTATTTCCTATTTGAATGTTCCAAAATCAAAGTCTTATACATGTACATGTATTCGTGCATTTGCATAAGGTCGATTTCTATCCAACGCAGCTCATATTCTGGATGGAATTAATTATTAGTTTCTTAAAAATATGTATGATAGTACTGTTAATTCTGAAACTTTTGCATGCAATTATAAATGTGATTGTTCAACAATTGACAAAAATGTCAGATTAATTATTAAGATTTCAGAAAGCACTGCATTCAAATAAAGTTTTCACAATTTAAATGCAAGTTTTTATTTTTGCTATACTTATCCCGCCAATATATAAAAAGTTTTGTTTGTGCTCATTTCATGATTAAGATACAATAGAAAAAATATCCCTTCATATAAAGTTAATCCTTTTTCAAGAAAAATGTGAAAATAAAATCTTGTGAACAGATTTGACCTTGAAATCTTGCATTAATACTGCGAAAATAAACCATTTAACTGTAAGAACCTTATATTGAAGATTAAATATATTGTTGAAATAACATTAACCGTACCAATTTTACTGCACCATATGGGCATTTGCCAATAAATTTCTGTTCAGTGATGCTGGAAGCCAAAATATTTAAAATCCAAATCTCATTAAAAAATTGAAGAGATGTATTGTTGAAATCCTGTCGATATATTCAAGTATAATTTTGTCAATACTAAATATGGTAAACCAGGTATAGTACTTCTCTTGTTATAGGTGTAGTTGAAAAGAGAGTTCATATTAAAATAAAGCCCCTGCCACTAAGTGACAATGACATATAATTTTACTGCTGTCTGTCATTCCTTTTAAATATAAATAAGAATTGGTTTGAGTGCCAATGAGACAACTCTCCAATCTATATAAAAAACAAGAAACACCTATGAACCACACCAACAAATGACAACCACTGAACAACAGGCTCCTGACTTCGGAAAGTGCATAAAAATGCAGAGGGTTTAAACGTTTTAACAGGCGATACATGTAAATTAAATTCAGTTTTCTCAACTATCATTGTCCTGTCTACAGAGGCAGTGCTATTATTATACAATGCTCATTTACAGTTATTGTACGTGTACTATTTAGCATAATTGTGAAAGAATTGAAAATGTTATGGCTACTGTAAATTCATAAATTGTTGCGTGCATTTATTGCAATTTTTTTAGAATGGACACCAATGCGAGATTAATTATTGCGATTTCAGAAAAAATCTGCATACATATATATTTATTCATCAGATATCATAATGAGAGTTCTTATTATTGCGATACTCACCCAGTCGCATTTTTCGCATTAATAAAAACCTCGCAATAATTTCTAAATTTACAGTATTCAATCTTAAGCCTGTTGGAATTTGAAATTTCAGGAATCAGTTTTTTTCACAAATTATTATTGTTTGACTGTGTTAAAATGAGATGTTAGATCTGTTCATGACAATATATATTTAGGAGAAACGAATAAACTATGACGTAACTATAATTTTATTATATATAATAGATGGCCAAAGTTAAGCTTTACCATGCCAAGTTGTTGTATTTGAAGAGAGAAATGAATAACCTAGGAGAGAAATCATTTAAGCTCAAGGTAGGTTATCAAAAGTAAAGTTTGGTTATTAAAAATTATTTTTTTACTTCATTGAAAAAATATAAAAATGTATGTGAGGCAACATTGAATGAATACACAATTGAAATGCACATAGCTCTAATTTATCTTAAGAATTATACCATACCAGTTGTCTCATAGTATTTTGTTTGCTCTGAGAGGGGAAGGTTTTGGTTTCAATTTAAGGTCGCTTCAAGCTAAAAGACTTCAAAATTTGTATTTTCTGCCAGCCAAGCACACATTTAGAATTGCAAGTTAGAGCGAAGACTAATCAGCTGATAGTTTAAAAATGTGTCCAAGTAAGATGATTTGTCTTGTTATTAGCTAACTGTTAAAGATTTGACTCCACATGTTGGTTCAGTACAAATCATGATATTTACTTATTGCATTATATATATACTAAGATATCATCCTGAATATGTATGTGTTGTTTAATATTAAGCAGACATTTCACTGAACTAGAATACATTATTTTAGGGGTCAGTGGAGGCCCGCCTCCTGGTGCGGTATTTGCTTGCTGCATTGAAGACCCATTGGTGGCCTTAGGCTGTTTTCTGCTCTTTGGTCGGGTTGTTGTCTCCTTGACACATTCCCTGTTTCCATTCTCTTTCAATAAATCAATCAAACAATGGATCAGTAATAAACATTATTAGAAGCTCTAAAGAATGAAAGTCCCCCAAGGTGGCCAGCACCCTTTGCATCTCTTTCCATAAAAAAAACTTTTTATTTCCTTTTTGCCTGAGCATATGTACGACAATTTACAAAACTCATCAAGTAACAGTAACTATAAATTCAGAAATTATTGCGTGCAATTATTATTGCGATTTTGTCCTTTTAGACTAAATCCGATTTTAATTTTTGCGATATTGAGAAAAATCCTGTTTAATTCATATAAAAAATTTCAAAATTCAAGTTTAAATTATTGCGATTATAACCCTGTTGCATTTTTCGCAAGAATAAAAACATCGCAACAATTTCTGAATTTACAGTATTTCCTGTAATTTAAAATATTCCATTTCAATCTACTCAACTGAGATGGTTTTTTCTCAGTTTAGCCGAGTGAGAATTCTATGAGGTGATAAGCTTATGTCATTGAGGTTGGCTAAGAAAATAGTGAAAAACAGATTATCTAGGGTCTTTCAAACTCAAAGAAGTTTTTGATCTACACCATGTCTTTACCCTTTGATTAGATTGTAGCAGAAAAAACTCCCTTTCCTTTTCAAAACCATAGAAAATTTATAATTGTAAGCCCTCTAAATTTACTTGTCATTTTCCATATCCTTGTATTATATCAGTTCTCAACCTATATCCAACAAGATATTCTCCTGGGTTGACACCAATCCCTCATACCTGGTTGGCAGATTCACCCTTTTTTCGGCTCACTTATATGATTTGACAAACTATGTACATTATATTACATACAAGATTAAAACAAATAACTGTACAGTAGGAGTACTACTAATAATTTTGTAATCTATAAAGAAATCTAAGATTCTGTTATGAATTTTCTTTTAGTTTTTTTTTGTCTATTTTGATCTAACAAGATGATTTCATTATTGCTTTGTAGAAAAGAGGAATAAAACTTCAGCAACAGAAAATTAAAGAGGAATTACAGAAACAAGAACAAGAAGAGAAAGAAAAAATGAGGGAGGAAATGTTAACAGCTAAAATTGCTAAGAAACGATCATCTAGCCAATCAGAGAAGAGCTAGTATCATTCAAAAATAGAACTTTATTACTGTTTTATTTGCAACTTCCATACCAAGTCATTTATGTGCTTACCAATGTAAAAAATATTAATTAATGTAATAATAGTTATTTGTTGATGTTAAAACAATTCAGTAGCGGATCCAGGGGGGGTCCTGGGGTTGGAACCCCCCCCTTTTTTTTGACAATCTACATTTGAATGGGGACATATAGTTGGAACCCTCCCCTTTATCCTGGATTGGGAACCCCCTTTTAAAAACGGCTGGATCCGCCCCTGCAATTTCTGTGTGGCTGGAGGAAACTGGTTATATCATGTGTGTTATTTTACTTATCATCCTTTATGCAATTATAAAAGAGGGCGGATTAAGATTAATAATGACGTGCTGATAATCAGTATTCTCTAATTCTTCGTCAATTTATTCCTTTCTGCACCCATTGTATAAAAAAATTTAATCAACGTGTGGTTCGTTTGATCTCAGTTCTTCATTGGTTAAAATCCGATTATGACGTCGAATTTTCTTGCTTTCCTCTGAATTTCCTATTGTGACGGCATGAAAAAAGGTGACCATGCCTGATGACGTCACATAGAAAGAACACATCTTTTTGCAGATCATTCAAAAAGGAGGAATAAGTTTGCCTGCATATTGTTTGAAAATCATTAGAGAAACAGATTCCACCACCAAATCTCGTGTAATACGATATTTATCCACTCTCGACAGTTAAATTTTAAATTTGAAAATTTAACTGTCTCGAGTGGATAAATATTGTATCACACTCGATGCAGTGGTAGAATCTATATTTATCTGAAACTTCAAAAATAGTAAAAGTAGTAAACTATTCTTTATACTATGATATTTTTGCATTTACATCTACAAAGTTTTGGTAATTTGTAAGAATCCGAATACTCAATATAATAATTCTATGTATAATGTAATCTTTATATTACTGACTAATACATGTATTATCAATTAAAAATAGGTTTTCTTGCTGCTCATTTGGTTTGATAATATAATGCATAAACCTTAAGGAAATATGGTAAAGTGTCCTCACAACTCATTTGAATTTTTCAACTTGAAATAAACTTGTTAAATTTTCAATTATTATTACATAAAGTAACAGCAGAGACATATAATACATGTATTATATGTCTCTGGTAACAGTGTGCTGTACACCCTCAATTTTCTTTTATATTTATTTAACTTGTTTTTATTAAAACTAAACTAAAGCTAATCATTTTAAAGTCTTAGAAATAATAAAGCTCTCATTTTGCATTTAAAACAAAAGAAATTTAAAGACTTAAACAATTAATTTAATATTCATTCTTTAAATGTTAAAATTGAACATTATGTGGCATTTCTAGTTGTTGCATGATATCATATATATGTTGTTAGTTATATTTAAAGTGCAATATGTATAATAAATTATTATGATGCTGTTTTGTAGTACTTTAAATTAACTTCCTGGTTTGTGTTGTTAAGATTTGAATGGACAGGTATGGCTACACTCACTTACTGTAAATTCATTATTATTCATGGGATACCAATTATCATGGATTTTCTAGGCACAGGTGAACCACAGATTTAAATGTTTAACAATTTACAAATTTTCTATAGACTTGTTCATATACTGTCGCAAAATTAAATATCCATGAAAATGCAAGTTTTCCTCAGTCCATGAAAATTGAAAACCATGAAAATAAATCTACAGTATTAGATAAAAGCTAAGGATTAGGAAACTTGGTATGAAGATATGTAGATACACATACATAAAAAAAGGGCCTGTGTGATCTTTTTCAGTACCAGTATTGCGACAAGAGAACTCAAAATTTTATTGGGCCATTTTTTTATATTTTGAACAATTGATTGATTGCTGATTGCTAAATGTCCAGTGGCTAATATTTCAAGCATGTTCAGGACAAGAACAAATAAACAATGAGGTCATGCAATATGGATTCGAGCAGGATGATGGGCTGAAATTTGGAATGCCACTAGAAAATGACGGGCTTCATTGGATAGGGACGGAAATTTAGCCTTGCAACAGGCCACCTAAGGACCCCTCAAAGAGTTGTTACAAGGGTTCTTAAATGTACAGAGAGCCTGGCACTGTCTCTACACTAGACATTAGATTTAACGTCCCCATTCTGATGAGACATGGCTGAGAATACCTGAAACTGAGTGCTTTAAATGTGTAATTTTCTGCATCTACTGTCACTTGTTTATGATTATTAGTCCCCTACCGACGAAGTCGAAGGGGACTTTAGGTTTGCACTCCTTCTGTCTGTCTGTCCGTCCGCCTGTCCATCCGTCAGTCCGGCAAATCAGCTTTCCACACTTTTTTTCTTTGTTCTTGAAGATATTGATTTGATATTTAGTATATAGTTTTATCATGAGAAGTTATAGATCAAGTTCGAATTTTGTTCCGGTCTGATGATTTAGTCCAGAGTTATGGACCATAACTCGGGACCATATCTAATGTTAGAGTACTATGTTAAACCATATTTCTGTACAAAGGGAGATAACTCATTTTTTAAAAGACATTCTTTGTTAAATTATTTGAAGAATTTTTTGGCAGGTTTGTTTGTTATTTAGTATAAACTAATTTTCTTAATGCTATATATATATAAAAAAATTATGAAGAGAAATCCTTTAATTAGATAATAATCTATTTTTATTAATGTATATATTTCAATACATTACATTGTGTAGATAAAAGTTGTTGACATTTTATAGATAAGTTACAAATCTACATTAATTTGTGACAAATGAAAGAAAAAAAATTTTAACTATTTATTATATTTGATTATAATTTGAAAATAGATCTACATTGTATTACATGATATCTAATTTTAGAGAACTATTAATCATATCTGATGTTTTTTTCATCATGCTTATAAGATATTGATTGATAATTGGTATATATATATAGTTTTATCATGACAAGTTACAGATCAAGTTCAAATTTTTACTTTGGTCTAATAATTTTGTGTTGAGTTATGGTCCTTGGACTTGAAAAATTCACGCATATAATCAGTTTTCCACACTGTATTTAGTCATGCTTGAAGATATTGACATGATATTTACTTTTTGTTTACACCATGACAAGTTATAGAACAAGCTAGCATTTTGTTCCAGTATAATGAATTTTCATCCGGTAGGGAACTATGTATTACCATGCAATACTCTCAGAATGCTTGATACACATATATTTTTTGATTAATTATTCAGTAGCATTAGGGCCAACATAAACATTTTTTGGCAGAATTTGGCACAAATAAACGCATTAACACAAAGGAGCTAGTAAAATTGACCAAATATGCTGGATAAACTGATTGGGTCCTAAAAGTGTAGTGACCACCAATAGGACCAACTACAAAATGTATGTGAGACCCCCCTTTACAAATTTGCTATATATTACAACAACTTGTAAGGCATAAAATAAGCAACAAACAATTTGTGCGCCAGAAACGATTCGACAATACAATACGCCATCTATGATTTGATGACCTTTCTCCCCCACCCTTGATTTTAATTATGTGGTGAACCCTGAAAATACAATGCTTTTGTGTGATGAAGCTCACATGAACCAGACGTTTATGAGAAAATCTTACATATTAATTAAGGTATCTAGTCATTTCGTACCATAACCATTTCGTACCCAAAATTACCATTTCGTACCATGAATCTGCCATTTTGTACCATGAATATAAACCATTTCGTACCATATGGAAAAAAAGATTTACCATTTCATAACAACATTTCTTTCAACATCACTAGACGGTCGTTTGTTGTACCAGAAATCTACATGGAAGAGTGAGTATTACATGCATCATAATTTGTTAATTTTACATAAAAAAAAAGAAACGATAATAAAGACAACACCCATCAATTACCGCATGGTAAGAGCTTAATCTGGTCGACATGTTTCGCCAACAAGCGTGGCGTCTTGAGGACTTGTTGGCGAAACATGTCGACCAGATTAAACTCTTACCATGCGGTAATTGATGGGTGGTGTTGTCTTTATTATCGTTTTATTTTACTTATCTAGTGAAAGACAACTATGAATACCTTTCGGTATCCACCCACTATTACCCAACCACACGATTACCACTTCAGGTGTTGGTTCACCTTGTTCAAATTCAAGTTTACATAAAAAAAGTTCGAAGTTGTCAAAGTTGTGGTATGATTGCCAATGAAACAGCTCTTTGATTTTTAACATGCATATGATAAAAAATATTTACAATGTAATGCACAAATTGTATAATCATGATTCAGCAAGCCAAATCGACTAATGATGCACTAATGTGTTTTAACTTGACATATTTTTAAGAATAATTTGCTTCTTCAACTCTAAGCAACTCAGCCGTAGTTTGAGTGTGTTTCTATTTAGTGCAAATATAGGTTTTATCCCTTTTTTGCTTTGCGTGCATATTAATTTTAATGCTAAAATTAAGTGCAATAAAAGGACTAATCTTTAACTTATTTTAGTACAGGTTAATTATAAGGTTAAGTTTTTTATTTTTTTAGTGCAGGTTAATCATAAGGTTACACGTTATTGCAATTAAAAGACTAAAAATTAATTTAATTTGCAATTTGTTATTGTTCTTTCTATTGTTATTGTTATGTATATATGTACACAAATAAATAATAAAATAAATGTAATATTTTTTTGCTTATTTTAATTGATATTCATGAAATAAATGAATAAAATAACATGTAAAGTATACATCATTTAGACAGTAATTACATCCAATCAATCATATGACAAAAAACAGGGTATCGAAAGTTTTAACTAAATTCAGGTTCTTTTCATCTCTTATCAAGAAATTTCCTGTACGCACATTCTATCAAATGGTAGGCAATTTAACATAGGAAAACTTACCTTCAGTACTGAATTATGAATACATAAAAAAAATAGCATACAATGGTACGAAATGGTAAACATTATAATCTTCCATATGGTATGAAATGGTAAACATTATAATCTTCCATATGGTATGAAATGGTAAACATTATAATCTTCCATATGGTACGATATGGTCATGGTACGAAATGGTTATGGTACGAAATGACTATGATTTTTAATTAATGTCCATTTCCTCAACATCAATATTTAGAATTCTGTATATTATGGTCTGTATGGGGTTTACAGATCGAGAGTAGAGAATAATGGTCCAAAAAAATAAAGAATAAAGAAATATGTGTACAAAAAATAAAAAATAGAGAATAATGGGGTGTTAAAATATAAAGAATAGAGAAACATAGCATAAAAATTTAAAGAATACAGAAATGAAGACCTTATTCTGACCCTCATTTATGAGAAAATAAATCCTTGAACAACATGACAAGTACCAAACTTGGAGCAGGATCTGCTTACCCTCCCTGAACACATGAGATAACTCCTGATCTTTGGTTGGGTACAAGTTGCTTAGTCTTTAGTTTTCTGTGAGGTGATTTGTAGATTGTCTGCCATTTTTCTTTTTGTGCCATGGTATTGCCTTCTTTTCTTTGATTGTTCATTTGGTTATCTCTGACTCTTTTATAAAATTAACTTATCCTGTATATAACTATAACACTGATTAACCCTTTAAGTGTGATTTTTTTTGTATAATGAGATCACAAATAAATATTGGAATATATAAGGAGCATTAGTAACGTAGTGAGGTCATGTCATCTGTATTCAGAGAAAATAAACAAATTCAGGGATAGCCTTCTTTGTGAGCACAAATAAAATTTCTAAATCATTAAAACCATTAGGCAGAGAGTGATTTTTAATTTGTTCTTTGTGACATTTTTGAACACTTTAAGGTATTATACCTGATTTAATCCATCAGTTTTGGAGGTTACCACAGCCAGTAAGATTAAAGTTTTCCTTCATCAAACAGATGAAATGATATCAAAATGTTTTTGATTGCATATCCACGGAAGAAGTCTTATAGTTATTTGAAAGTCATATGGTGAATATGTCACTGGTATCCAAACTGTGTAGTTACAAGTATATGGCCCCAGGAATACCTATAAATAATAACATTTTTTCAATCTTTTCAAAACTATTTTAGTTTTATTATTAAATGAATAGAATGATATAATCTGGACACTTTAGTGCAGAAATATCATTTGCGATGTCACTAAGATGTCAAAGACATGTCGAAAATTATATGACTTTATCACATATGAATTACCCCAATCATCTTAGGTACTGTTTCTAAATTTTTATCAAAGTTTACCAATGTCACAATCCTGGTGTTTGAATGTGACCTGGTAAGGTTAATTGATTGATTGATCAATTGGTGTTTAATGCCATTTTTTAGCACTAGTGGCTATTTCTAGGCAGTCAGTTGTTAGGGAGCTACCATTTGATTTTAATGGGGTGGGGCTAAGATGAAAAATGTTGTCCTGCATTTTTTTACTCAAAACTCCTGTCCTGCATTTTTTTTCAAATTTCATCCTAGCCCCCCCCCCCCCCCCCCCCCCATAAAAATCAAATGGTAGCTCCCTTATTGGTGGAGGAAGCAAGAATGCCTGGAGAGAACCACTGACCTTCGGTAGGAAAGCTAACAATCCTAGTCAATTAAGATTGGAGTCGAGAGCACCTTCCACATGCAGGATTCGAACTCACAACCTCAATGTTGACAGCCTAGTGATACAACAGTTGGACTACTTAGACCACTCGGCCACCGACATCCTTCGATAGGTATAGATGTCTTTAGTAAAAAGCTTATCAATATTGGAATCAATAGGTCAAAGTTCAAGGTCACTGTTACTAAACTTGGTAACTTTTAGAAAACTTGATTTCCTTAAAATGTAACTATTTGATTTTTATGGGGGGGGGGGGGGGGGGGGGGGGGACAGTGGCAAAAAAACTCATAATGTCAAGTTCTTCTTTCTTTCTTATTCCACCAAAATTATCAGACCACTCATTATAGTGTAGTGATTGCCCTTATTGACACATCTATTTTACCTTGTATCTCAAAAACTATAAAAAATAGGTAGAAATTTTCAAGGCAAAAATTAGTAATACGACTAAAACCATTTGATGAACCCTTATAGGAGTTATCTTTTTAATGGCGATATTTGACTTAATTTCCAGTATTTGCCTTTTATCTCGAAATTTTAACAGATAGGTAGAAACTGAAAACTACAAAAAAGATCAGCAATACAAGATCTTCCAAAAAGCCAACATGGCCGAAACCATACGATTACTCCTTAAATGAGTTAATACCCTTTAATTTTCGAGTTTTTTGTCTATAATCCCGAAAAATATAAAAGAAAGGTTGAAACTGTATACAACAAAACTCATCAACAAGACATACAAACATTTCAAATAACTGAAACAATGTTGGATGAATCCTTATAGGAGTTAGTTATTGCCCTAAAATAGTGATTTTTAAACCAATTTACAAGTGTACACACCAATATTATCAGATCAAATCCGTTAGATGACTCCTAATAATAGGAGTTATTGCCCTTTACTGACGATATCTGACTTAATTAAGTTATGACTTTTTGCCTATCATATAATTTTTCAACAGTTGAGCGATTGAGTCTCTTGGGATACTCTTGTTTTTGCTCTACTTTTAGCAATATTATTGGCCATGGGTTAGCACAGGACAGGGTAACCTTTCCCCAATTCGTGAATATCTTAAAAGAGATTTTCTGTATATATAGTCTCTGGAGACAAGAGAAAGTATAAGTAACAATTTTAATTCTAGATACCAGCTCTGGAACATAAAGTGAGTGGCGGATCCAGAAAATCAGAAATTTTCATAAGTGGGGGCCCACTGACTGCCTAAGAGGGGGCCCGCTCCGGTCATGCTTCAGTGATTCCCTATATAATCAACCAAATTTTTCCCAAAAAGGGGGGACCGGGCCCCCTGGACCCCCTTAAATCCGCCCCTGTAGTTTTTGCTTTATTAGTCACCTTTTGGAATGTTAACTCGAGTGTCCCATTATTGATTGAAGCACACTTTAAATATACAGTAATAATAATACATGGTTTTTTTTGTTCCCTCCATGCATTCAAGTATTTTGAATCATTGAAGTACAAGACAGACCATAAAAGTTTGTTTACTCTAAAAAAAATGTACGGATTTGAGATTATCTTTTGGCAGTGCTAACTTTCCACTTTTTTAAATCGTTGAATAGAAATAAATGATTACAATGGTGAACTCATTTAATTGTAAGAAATCCTGGTTTATTGGTATCACTTGATGTCCATGCTTCGTGTGTGGTCTCGTTGTCATTTGTAACATCAAGCTTCATCACCGGTGTATGGGCATCTGTAAGATGAAAAGCAAATTTTAAATTACAGTTATGATTGACGGGACATAATAATGTTGCACCCGTCGCATTGCTCACGAACTATTGCTCATGGCAAAAATATCCGGTCATTAATTAAATTCGGCGATGTCTAGCCCGAATAAGCCAGACATTATCTGTGGGAGACACTGACCTTATGAGGGAGCTGTATTATTTGAGTTTGACGACGCCTTGATAGGAAACACAAGCACTGTATTATCGTGTCATCTAGGTGAGGCATACTTCATATGCTAAATATTCTTTTATAAGACAACATAAGAAATTTAAACAAGAAAAATAAAACGGAAGAAAACATTGGTCTATGTGCAATTTTTTTAAAATCAAATGCTATCAAAAAACAATCAATCGATTTGGTAAACTTGGATAAGTCCGGGAAATTTAAACAGTTATAGTAATAGTAGGGAATAAAGGTAACTATATTCGATAATGGCGTAAATTATGGACTCTCAAATAGTTATTGCAACTGTTATTTCACCTTCAGAAAGAATGATACTTTCCAAACAGTTGACATCTGATCGGACGAACATTGTAGCTGCGTATCTATGCATCCATGTAGCAATTTTTTAATTTCCCGGTCAACACTTTGTTCCCTATCCTAATGAAATCGCTTCACAACTAAATATGAAAGGTGTTACACCGACAATTAAGGTGCAACTCCATCAACTATGTCTGTATATTAACATAATACTGTATAAGTTTGGTGCTACGGTAGTACCGAAGCGCTTTTCTGGATTTAATTCCACCAAGAACACTCCAACCTTTACTTTTGAAAGCAATGGATGCATAAATGCGTAGAAACTTTGGGAACTATTTATATGTTAGCTAAAGGGACCAAATCAGAATATTCAAATTCATCAAAGGTCAGCATTGCCCGAGGGAGTTGTTTGTATCTGACTATTCCACTAATTCAATACATAGTCTAAGTCTGTAAGGTAGATAACGATATATAACATATCTTTGTGTCCGATATTCTCCCGTTCCATTATTCTCAATGGACAAGACAAGACAAAACAATATTTTATTTAAGTCTCACCTCTTACAAAACATTTACACATTATTTTAACTTCACATATAAAACAAGAGCCACTATAAAAAGAGTTGTGAGAGACTATAATTTTTTTATGGAGCAGCCAAGGTACAAATCATGTGACTTATTAAAAGCAGATTAGGGTTAAATATGAAATATTGATTACAATAAATTTCTAAATGCGTAATGTGCATTATACTTATACTTTACACTACTGTCAATTTCCAATTTTTATTGTACAAAATGTTGTAGAGAACGACATTATTATATTTGTCTCGTGTATTTAATTTTGCTTCATTGCAAGTAATACTATTCATGACTGAATCGTTACTCGTAAGCCTAACCAAGGATTTGTATAGTCTTACTATATAAATCATTGGCCTAATGATGAGAGTGGACGAACGCATGTCCGGAACCCTTTTAGTCCGAAATTTGTGTTTTTTTAAAAAAAATCTGAATGTTGACTGCACCCTCCATATTTTTTGGTACAACCCTCCGGATCCCCTATTAAAAAAATCCCAATCCGCAATTGTTACGTTTAAAGTGAATAACTGCAATTTTGGTTCGTTCTTTTAGTATCCTATATAATATATAAAGTATTAAGGTGAAGTTTTTTTTTAATTTACCAAGCAATAATTGTTGACCTGCATTGTTATCATTTTTGAAATTTTAAATATAAGTACTGTTTAATGATTAAGTCTTTAATCTCCTTTAACTTTTAAGTTTACTACGCGGCGCATTGTTTTCTTTACAAACAAACAAATTAAATTTTGCAAGCAGTAGTGTATTTCTCAAACTAATACTTAGATAAAGAATATAAAAATAAAATATAAGTTCACTGGGTTGTGAACTAGCGCTGTTGTACTTCAACAGAACAAAGTGACCGATAAAATTTTGAATAATAAATTGGAAGGGCTTTGACTATAACTGAACAAATCAATGAAAAATTATTAACATTCTAACTAAATAACTGTTGTTAATTATTATTGTTATTTCTAGTGTGAATACCTTTCTTTGTTTCTTATATAACTTGTACTTAAGTTGTTTTTTTTTAAACTGACGATGTCAGGTAGGCTCCGCTTACATATTTTTGAGTGAGGCACATAACAAATACTTTATTCTGATACAAACAAAAAGAAAGATGAAAGGATAAACACCAAAGCCGGGTGCTCCGAGGGGGGGGGGGGGGGGGGGGGGGGGGTACCATGGAGACTGGGATCCTGGTTCTCTGAAAACAGTAGACATACTGACGCGAAGAGAACGTTTGGCCAGGACGCCATGCTAACAATCCCTGATCCATTTAGTAACATCCTTTCTGCTGTTCATAACAAGTAACCATCCGACAATAAGTCGCATTCGGCATTGTCATAAAGATGAAAGTAGGAAGGGGCATAACTTCTTAGTCATAATCACGCGAAGTGATAATGTTATATTGTTGTTTTAAAACGTTACATTAAATGACAATTGATTAATAGTCAATTTAGATTATGACATTGTCTATTGATACAGTACATGTTAGAGTAATAGGATAAGTCAAATGTATTTTTTTGTTGGATTTTCTACTTCAAATGCAAGGAATTATGGTACAAGTAAACGAAATAGTAAACCCTCAGACAAATCACAACATTTGTCAATCAAAATCTAAATTACAAATAAAGGGCGGACCGCAAGTGTATAAAAAACAATCCTAGGCCATACAAAAAATGTGTGACTGTCAAATATGCAACATGCATATTTATTCTAAGGTACTATTGTCGTGAACAAATTATATTATAAACATGCGCGGATCCAGCCATTTTTAAAATAAAGGATGTTTAATCACATGCAAGTCATAAAAGTGGGGTTTCAACCGTATGTTCTCATACAGAAGTATTAGTTGTCAATCAAAAGGGGGTTCCAACCACCAGAACACCTCACCCCCTTTCTATATCCGCCGCTGATGTACTACCTTGACAATAACGACCAATATATGATAGCCCTGTTTAATATTCTGGAAATGAGACCAACATAACAATAGTTACAGAAACTGCTGCCCCTTCCGGAGTACGGGAGTTCACTCATTTTTTTTTTTGGGGGGGGGATTGTTGTTGCTCAATCAAAGTTTTCTATGTGGTGTATTATTTGTTTACTGCATGTTGTTTAAAAATATATTAGATGTACTGTGAGGTAATTGGTAATGAGGCAACTATCCACCAAAGGCAAAATAAAAAATAAAACACCAAGGATATTCGGGTCTTTTTTCTTTTGGCCATGATGTTGTCTTTCTTCAATTATGGTTTTTGATAACCCCTTGGTATAGTTTGCTTCTTTAAAACGGCGCACAATATAAATATGACAACATTTTTTTTAAATTACCTGATTTAGATTTAGTTAGCTTCGGAATAAATGATTTTCTCCTCTTTCTATGTTTTATACTTTCTTCAGGTGCCAAATGTTTTATCCCAGACTGTGTGGACGAACGCCTTAACGACTTCGAATTGTCAAAATGTTCATTGTTATCAACAACAAGAACGGTGCCATTTTGAAAAGACGTGTCTTCATCAAGTGATATTTGTCGACTAGGAAAACTCATTGATCGTTTAGTAATTGGTCTACTTTCAGGAATGGCATTATGGAGCCCTATACCTGTATCTTTAACTGCTGTAAACATGTCAGATGACGATTTATTTGACGTATCTGGACCTGTGGGAATTTCTTCTACGTCATCAAAAACATTGACTAATGAAACAGACGATACAATATGAACAATCTCCTCTGAGATGCTGTGGCACTTTATCCTACCATTTGGAAGTACATTTTTGGCCTTTTGAACATTTGCTGCAAGGTCTGATTCCTCATTAATTCTTGCGAAAGTTTGCGTTTGTGGAGACGACATTATAGGAAGAGAATTCTCTCTTCTCATGCCTTCCTTTTTTACTGCACGTATAGGAATTTTTGTTACTCTTGGAAGTGTTGAAATTGAGTCGTTATCATTCGATGTGTTATCGTTTGTTTCACTCACACTTGATCTACGATTCAATTGAACATTTTGAGCAGCGTCATGAGGATCATACCACGATAGTCCAGCTACTTGCGTGTTGGATCGCATGAGTATCTTCCGCTTCCGCTTAGTTACAACATCTTCTTCACCTGCATCAGATTTTACACGATTGAGAACAGATGTGGATGTAAAGGATTGTGAACTCGCGGATTTTCCAAGCTTTCTTATTTCATTTGTTTTAAAGTCTGTGGCTTCCGTATTGTTTTTAATAATTTCATTTACATTATGACAGTTATGATTTGTATTTGTCTCAGTGTGATTGGTATCATTTATTTGAAACGTATGCTCTGATGATTTTCTTTCTAGCATATTGTTAGAATATCTTTTTAAGCTGTTTTCATTACACAATCTTGCTGGAATACTCTTTGAACGATTTATAGATGCATTTATCGGGTGGTCGCCATTCTCATTAATATTATGTAAAGCCCTAAATAAAGCAGGGTTTAATATTACCGTTTTCTCTTTCTCGCCCCGAGATTTCGACTTTTTGCCTATATCACTGGACTCGTTATGATCCGTCGTTCGTTTTTGCGACTTTTCATTTTTTGCAGATGCAGCAGCGGACTCATCCGGGCTAGAGATTATTGCCACTGTTGTTACCATGGCTACGTTTTGATCATCTTCAATAGTTGACTCTCTTCTTGAGCCTACGCTAAATTTTGGTCGTTGTGAACTACTAAAAGAAGAATTAAATACAGAAAACTCATGACCACTTACTTCAATATCATCTCCGTCGTCGTTTTCAAAGACAGAATTATCATCCCCGCTGTATCGTGCGCGCCTTATAGCACGTTGTATTTCCTGTCGGTCGAAATCGGATAACGACTCCATAAAAGCATCGCTAAATGTTATTTCGTCTTGTTCAACATGGTCCAAATTATAATCACGTACAATCCACGGGATTCTTACGAGATCTACCAGCCACCCAATGCCAAAACAGCCTAATGTAAATAGATATAGAAACCCGGCTTTATACCGTCGGAGGTAAAAATGATGTCCTCCTAATATCCCAAACCATATCCAGATCAGGTACACATCGTCTGCGTACTTTTTGTTAAGATTAACTCCAACTTTCCATTGTTTCCGCCTGTGAACAATAGTGGAAATTCTAAACAAATCAAATAGCCACCAAATGCCCAAGCCTCCTAATGTGAATGTGTATGATAATCCCCATAAAATTCTCCCGCTGTAATACTGATGAGCTCCGAGAATTCCGAAGGGCGAGGCAGCAATTAAGTATGTTTTCAGAATTTCTAGATCAGTTGAGAATTTTTCTTTTGTGTTGCTTTGTTCTACTAAAGATGGCATAAAAAATCCATCCAGAACCCAGCCTATACCGTACACTCCAAATGTGACAAGATATAGCAATGCTAACGAGAAGTTCCTCAGGTAAAAGTGATGCCAACCTGAAAATGTAAAAAAGTTCAAAACTTATGTTGTTGAAAAGAAAAGATATAAGATCTGCCACCTTCCGGAGCACCTGAGATCAACCCCGGTTTTTGGTGGGGTTCGTGTTGCTCAGTCTTTAGTTTTATATGCTGTGTTATGTGTACTGTTGTTTGTCTTTTGGTCTTTTTTTTTGTCATGGCGTTGTCAGTTTATTTTCGACTTATGAGTTTGAATGTTCCTTTGGGATCTTTCGCCTCTCTTTTCCATGCGAACAACACGTGTTTTGGGAATAACATTGATCAGGTACACCCAAGAACAAAAGTTTGAAAAGCCGGATATATCAAATATTTGAGAGCATTAAAAGCCAAAATGCACAATACAGAACAGCCAAAAACGTCAAACTTTAATAGGGAGTTGCAATTTTGACTTGGAATAGTTACCTAATTGTATAATCTGAAATTATTAGATTAAATAAATCATGCCAATATCGATGCAAATATTACTGGGCAGATGAAGTTGTTGGGTTCCTTTTTTTGTTCTGCCATAATAAATCTTTGTTGATTAAAAGTCTGAAAATTATTTTTAAATTTCGATCATGTTTTTAAATATTTCTATACATCAATTTCATAACGCAAAACGTAAAATTTAGAAACTTACAAATTTAGAAAAAAACTATTTTATAAGCATTCCTTTGCAGATACATGTAGCAGATAGCGGAAACGGCAAACATGAGTACAAATCAGGGAAGATGGATATAAGATTTTCAATAGGATTCAATGGGGTACTGTGTTAACATTGTAAAAATTCATGCAACGGAATAACACAAGTAATTTTTTTTTAAATCAGCTTTTAACAGGGTCATCCAATTATTATGATTTTCATTATTACAAATTATGAAAAGATCTAAACTTTTAATTCGAGTTCCTCGGCTAAAGTTATTTATAAAAAAAGCCACCTTCGTCGGTCAATATAATTTCTTCAACGATCATCTCCAATCGGAAATTGTTGGAAAGGAACTTTGATTAAGATTGACTCTTCAGTTTCAAAGAAGGAAGTGATAATATGATTTCCAAAAGTTTTTAATGATCATACATCTGTTCAGAACGAAATGAGGAGTCTTTGTACAGGTTATCACCGTGACGGTTGTCATTCCTATAACTTTTTGGAGAAAGTTGGCCTCGATTTTAGTTTTAGTGGCAAACACTAAAAAATGAGAATGTATTGGTTCGAAATGAGGTTTTTCCATTTAGAATCTTCAATGCCATCATTACTGCAAATTGCTATTGAAAAAAGCTGTGTTATATTAGTTGTGTGAAAAAATAAGACAGAAATATGAGATGTTAATTCAGACAAAGATATATCAGTGACGATTTTAAAATCGGGAAAACATTTTTGTTTTGCAATAAAAACGTTTACAAACTTTTTCGCATTCCTCCTTTTTGCGACAATCTTGGGCTTGCGCCGTCTTACATTAAATCCTAGATGCCCTGAAATCTTCATATGAGACCAAATGATTTTAACTAACCACTTATAAAAATAAGAAGATGTGGTATGATTTCCAATGAGACAACTCTCCACAAGAGACCAAATGACACAGAAATTAACAACTATTGGTCACCGTACGGCCTTCAACAATGAGCAAAACCCATACCGCATAGTCAGCTATGAAAGGCCCCGAAATGGCAAATGTAAAACAACTCAAACGAGAAAACTAACGGCATAATTTATGTACAAAATAATGAACGAAAAACACATATGTCACACAGCAACAAACGACAATCACTGAATTACAGGCTCCTAACTTGGGACAGGCACATACAGAATGTGGCGGGGTTAAACTCGTTTGAAGGCGCCAACCCTCCCCTAACCTGGGACAGTGGTGTAACAGTACAACATAAGAACAAACTATAAAAATCAGTTGAAAAAGGCTTAACTCATCAGATGAATACAAATAGAAATACATCTAATAAAATCACAGAGATGACGTGGACCTTGTACATCCCCACAACAAAAAGACACTAAGTACAGATCTGAGAGTACTAGCAGTTACTGACAGTTAGTTCAAAGCCAATAACAACTACTAGTAATAAAAAAATCATGCAACTAAGACTTAAATATCAAACAGTACACATCAAACATCCATGGATTTAGTGTAAAGACTTCATAAACAGTCAGAGAAAAACATGTCTTTTATATCAACCGACCTTTAACCATTTTGACAAATTGTTTTTTGTTAGCTAAACGTTCAGTGACAAATATTTCATAAATATTAAGGATGAAAACCATTTTGTATAAATTTGTAAATGTACATTCATTTTGAAATTTGTAAATACATATCACAGCTCTAAAAAAATGCGTACCAAGCTTTTACGGTTGTAATTTACAGTATTTAATTTATTTCTATATATTGAACGATACAATACGATGAATCAATACGAGGGTCTGGTGGGGGTTTACAGAATAGAGAATAAAAGGTGAAAACAGAGACTAAATGGCAACAAAAAAAATAAAGATTAAAGAAAAAATAATCAAACCAATAAAGACTAGGGAATAACAGGGTGCTAAAATATAAAGGAAAGAGTATCGGGGAAAAAAGAAAGGATAAAAATGGCCTTAAAATTGAAACATACAGAAATGTATACCCATTTTCAGACCCTCATACATGTTATGCTACACCTTGAAGTACTTGCCTATTATTCCGAAAGGAAACCAAACAAGATATGAATCCAACAATGTCTTTTCCGTCTTAAATTTATCATCATTATCATTCTCATCCACTACCATAGAGGGTATTCGGAACAAGTCTATTATCCACCCTACTCCAAAGACTCCGAACGTCAACAGATACACAACTCCCATAAACCATCGGTTTAGATAAAAATGATGCGCTCCGAATGGACCTAGGAAAATGGCTAACAAGTATGCGGTCTTGACCGACTTCTGTTTATGACTTTTTAGTTTGTTTAATCCTTTTTCCACATTGAACATAAATCCAAATTTAGGTCTTGGAAATTTGATACCATATGTCTTCTTCAGTTGTTTCGACATTGTATGAGTTTTGGTTTGGCATTAATGCAAAATTAAATTTATCCTGAATTTCTAACGAATTAAAACATCTCTTGTCTTTTTATTTCATCTTAAGCTTATTCCAACATATCTATGCTTAGCATTCCTATTTAGCAAATGAAGGTTGAGATTGTTTGAATTGTTTCAGGATTTTGAAATTTAAAGTAGTCTATCTAAAGTTCATTTATACGCTTCACAAAATCAATTTCTTTCCGAGGTGGTTAAATTGTAGCCTATTGTATAAACGGATTATTTAGATTAATACAGAGATTATAAATTCATTTATGGAATAGGTCACTGTTAAATATTTGATATTATTGAAATTATATGTTATTAAGACTATGATATTGAAAAATCGTTCACCTGAAACTTTAATTGTTTTGAAAATAAACAATACACGAAACTAAATTAAAAAAATAAAACAAAAACAAAAACAAACCCCCGATGTTATGCAAATGTCCGAATTATTTGTACTCAACCACAGTAATGTTGTGTAACATTTTTGTAATATATATCTTAACTTGACAAATATTTCGACTGAACAAATCGACTTCGTCATTTTCAATAATTTTTACAAAACTAGTTGTTTGTTAAAAAAGCTCAGAAATACAGGTATGTTCTGGTCTATTGATGGATTATATATATATATATATATATATATATATATATATATTCCATTAATAGAGGGGTTGAGATTTCACAAAACATGTTTAACCCCGCGTGGCAGATCCATTGATGCCCTTGAGCTGTTTTCTGCTCTTTGGTCAGGTTGTTGTCTCTTTGACACATTCCACGTTTCCATTTATAATTCCATAGAAACAACAGAAATCTAGGTGCAAACGTTGATATTTTAATACAAATATACAGGAAATACGAAAAACAAATTATAAATTACAATGATTTAAAAAATACATATCCACAAATCGAGTTATGTACAATGCGTTGCCGGATTTCATTGTTAACATGATAGTTGTCATTGTTAACACATAAGTTGTCCTTGCTAACATATTAGATGTCAGTGTTAGCATATTAGATCCGATATGGTTTTAAATATTTTTCTCGAATTTTTTCACTATTTTCACATTTCCCAAACGATTGTGAAGAAAAAATGTACTCCTCACTAGTGAAATATCTGTTCTCAGCAAATGATTGGTCGAAATTTAATTATGACGTCAAATTTTCTTGATTTCTTCTGAATTTCCTATTGTGACGCAATGAATAGATACCATAAGACTTAAATCATTAAAAGCAATCTTGCTTATGTACTATAAGCACAAGGGTTTCTAACCCATTCAAGAACCCGGGGGTTGTGAATGCTGTATCCTCTTTGCATGACAAATATGTCGTTGTTCCAGCAAATAAAGCCTCCAATAATATTGTCTTCACATGTAAAAACCATTATTTGGAATGTCTCACAAAAGAGCGTGGAATAAACAGCAAAACTGGTAATCGTACTTATTCTTTAACATCATTTACAAAGGATGAAATTTTACAAAACCACAAATCTGTCCTTCTTTCTTTTGGTATTAACATAAAAAAAAACCGAAGAAAATCTACCGTCATTATACTGGATACCAAAACTTCACAAAACTACATATAAAAAACGATACATAGCCGGATCATCAAGATGTTCAACTAAACATCTTTCTAAAGTGCTGACTACTACTCTTTCTACAGTAAAAGATAGCATTCAAAAATATTGTGATGAGATATATTCCACCAGTGGTGTCAATCAGATATGGATTCTTAAAAATACTAAAGATCTACTGCTAAATCTTAGATCACAATCTTTGCAATTTTGCAGCAACATTAAAACTTTTTATTTTTCTACGCTTTTTTTTGTGAAGAACCAC